CTAATAGCTTTTACTGAAATTGTTTATTTTTGTTTTTTGTCTTTCTTTAACTTCGCGCAAAGCTACACGAGGGCTATCTGCGCTAGCCGTCCCTAATTTAGCAGTGTAAGACTAGAGGGAAGGCAGCTAGTCATCACCACCCACCGCCAACTCTCGGGCTACTCTTTTACCAACGAATAGTGGGATTGACCGTCACATTATAACACCCCCACGGCTGAAAGGGCGAGCATGTTTGGTGGGATGCGGATTCGAACCCGCGCCCCTCAGATTGTGAGTCGAGCGCCTTATCCACCTGGCCATGCCGGGCCCACATAGCCATCTCTAATTTTGATCTGGTGAACTATGACGAAGGTACTCAGTCAACAGCACCCACCGCCAACTCTTGGGCTACTCTTGTCTGATAGAATCGTAAAATTTTACCATCACTCTTACAGCGACCCCAACTACAGAGTATGATTATGCAGCAACAGATCGCGAATCATAAATACTCCGATTTCCAGCACGAGCACACTGATCACTATAATACGTTCTGCTCATATATGTTCATACTTAAAGCGGGCAATATAATATTTGACCATCAGAATTAATTACCTATTTACTATCATAAAAAATCTAAACTTTTCTTAGTGTAAATGCACACTAACTTATGTCTTTTTTTTTGCTTTAGAGTATAGCCTCACTGGGCTATCTGCGAAATAACTTACCGCTGTTCCATCAACTAGCCGGCATGGCCAGGTGGTTAGGGCGCTCGACTCGGAATCTAAGGGTCGCGGGTTCGAATCCCCATCCCACCAAACATGCTCGCCCTTTCAGCCGTTGGGGGCATTATGACGTGCCGGCAATCCCACTATTCGTTGGTAAAAGAGTAGCCCAAGAGTTGGCGGTGGGTGTTGACGACTAGTTGCCTTCCCTCTAGTCTTTCACTGCTAAATTAGGTACGACTAGCGCAGATAGCCCTCGTGTAGCTTTGCGCGAAATTCAAAACAAAGAAACAAAGCTGTCCCATCAAGGTACCAAGTTCTTTTTCACGTCAAAATGACCATGTCTTTAATTGGACAGAAGTTGGCAGTCCACGCTTCATTAATTCGAAATTAAATGTAGCCTCTCATAAAGATTATTTTTAAACATTGTCATTGTATAAAGAGAAAGTTTAAAAATCAAACAAAAGCGTATATTCTTTAGTAAAAACCTTAAATTGTGTTGACTTGTCCAAGACAGTGTGACCGTCGTTCAGTTTAGAGGAAAGGGAACAGGAATGCTTTGCTGGACACCGACACTGACGTTCTATCCACGGAGTCGAATACGTATCCACTTTGTTACACACTTCAAAATGAGAACATTCTGGAAGATCTTCTTCAGAATTCTGAAAAAAAAAAATAGAAAACAAAGCAGTGAAAAACGTAAAAGCAAAATATAAACACGCATTTAACACTGGACACGATAAAGATATCAGAATAATGATGAATAATTAGTCTGAAATTACTGTCTGTACTTTCATACCATCCTTACCGTTATAACTTGAGAATGATAGCACCAGTGATCAAAACATCGTATCTGCTTTAAAAATATTCTTCCTTAGTGTAAGAACTGTAACTTGTAATAAAATAATATTTTGGTTTGTTATAGAATAAAGCCCCATGAGGCTATCTGCTTTGTCCACCGGGTAGAATCAAATCCAGGATTGTTGTATTGTAAGTCCGTAGACTTACCGCTATCCCACGGGGGGATTTTATATCTTGGTAAGCTATAAATGGGTAAGTTACCTAGAAGTGGCTTAATTTAGACTGTTACTTGGTTTGTTTTTTGTTAAGCATAAAGTTGCACAATGGGATTTCAATGTTGTGTCCAGCACGAGTAAAAATCTGGTTTTTAGCGTTACAAGCCTTCAGACTTGTCGCCAAACCATTGGGGGAGGTAGTTAATTAGAAGTAAGAGCATTCAATTACACAACTGAAGGATTTGCATGCATAATAAGCAACAAAGATAGATTTGTCACCTGTACGTTATATGTGCAATATAAGCAAGGCGGCTTCCATATGTACAATATATTGAGACCTTAAGAATTTTCATACTTGTTATTATAATGTAAAAAATAAGCATTTTGAATACTTTATCAGAAAATAAGTTTCCTTAGAACTCCAACTTATCTAGTTCCCATGAACTGATGTTTTGAAACAAGTTTTTGTCGTTTTCATGTATTTAATTAAGATTATCGTTTAGGAAGAGCCTCCTAGTGGTACAACGGTATATCCACGGACTTACAACGCTAGAAACCAGGTTTCGATACGAGTGGTGGGCAGAAAACAGGTTGTCTATTGTGTAGCTTTGCCCTTAACTACAAAAAAACGTTGGGAAAAATTGCACCACCCAGTGAAAATGTTTTCTTTCATCAAAAGGTTTTTTTATATAGCAAACGGTGTTTAAAAGGCTGCGCATATTGAACAGCCTTGCATAAGTAAAACTCATAAGCCCCATTGGAGGAACAAGATGATAAGTTATCGTGTGCAAAGAAAGATACTTCTGCTTTTCGGTCTGGTATGACGTGGTGGTTAGGACACTCGACCCGCAATCTGCGGGACGCGATATCGAATCTTGTCACCAAACACGCTCGCCTCTTGAGCCGTGGGAGCGTTTTAATTTGGCTGTCAATCCCACTGTTCATTGGTAAGGAGAAGTTCCAGAGTTTGCGGTAGGTGGCGGTCGATGGTGTTAACTAGCTGCCTTCCCTCTTGTTTATTGCTTTTAAATCAGGGACGACTAACGCAGATAGACCTCGAGTAGCTTTGTGCGAAATTCAACAACAACAAACAAAAAAAAACAGACAAAAAAAAAAACACGAAAAAATAAATTCCCGTTTCTAGATGGCGACAATAATAGTTTCTAAGGATTTCTAGCAATTTGTCGCCATTTGTGGCAACACGTGCATTCTGCCTCATTTAACATAAGAAATATTAGATTCAGAGTCAATTGTTAACCATTCGTAACCGTCAGTTATTTAACACGTCCCAATGCTTCTCTGACAACTGCTTTTTTTTCGTTCCTTAAAAACACGATCCGAACCAAACTGTGCTCGACTACTATGGTATATTTTTCCATGAATCGTTCAACAAGTAATTTTCTATTAATTTGTGTTACTTCGAGCTACTTCATGTTTACTAATCTAATAAGCACAGATAAACACAGAAAGTCGAATCTTCTTTAGTAGACTTATAGCCTGAAAAAATGTACTGAAGAAAATATATCAATAAAAATATTGGGATATTAGCAGTAACACGAGAATCAGAAATAGGGCCATTAAGCCTACGGTTAATGCAATGGATTCAACTCTTTAAATCAAATAACTTAATTTCCATAATGTTTGTCTAAAAAGGAAAATAACTAAAGAACAACACCTTTCCGTTTATTTTTGCCTTCGGAGAAGAAAAGTTTCAATTAACAAGAATGTTCTAATTCATATATACGTGTAATAACACAAAGTATTTTCAGCTACTGTGATTTTGTTTAGAATTAAGCACAAAGCTACACAATGGGCTATCTGTGCTCTGCCCATCACGGGTATCGAAACCCGGTTTCTAACGTTGTAAGACTGCAGACATACCGCTGTGCCGGCCTGTGGTTTTGATTCAAGTGTACCCTCATTTTTGATATCATTCAACAATTACAGTTACATTTTTTCAAACTTCCGTGTTTCTATGTCATACTAAGTCTGAACCACTACACAAAATACACAGTCTTATATATTACTTCTTAGATGATTTATATTTTTCATATTTAAATTTAAACATATGTTTAACTGGGAAAAATTGACGTCTTTCTTATACATTTAATAAAATATAAAAAATTCGTTTTTTTATTAAATAGGATGTGCATAGCATTTTTTGTTTGTGTTTAAGCGCCAAGCTATACAATGGGCTATCTGCGTTGTGCCAATCATGGGTATCGTTGAGCCACTGAGAGGCGTATATAAAACATGTATGGAAATAAAAATATACAGATCGAATTCAAATAACATTTACGTTGATTTGAGATTGAAATTATTTCTAGAAGCTTTTATATCATCATCATTACATAAGTTATCCTTGTTCATCGATATGAAATAAGCTGAATATATTTTGTAGATAAACGATTAAAAGTAAAGTGTACATTTCATTAAAATGTAGCTTAAAATTTAATCCCTAAAATTGTGTTTGTTTGTTTATTTGAAGTTAAGCACAAAGCTACAAAATGCGCTAGCTGTGCTCTGCTCACCACGGGTATCGAAACCCGGTTTGTAGCGTTGTAAATCTGCAAAAATACCGCTGAGCTACTGGGGGGCTTCTAAAATTTTATAAAATGATTAAAAATTATGTAATCATTTCCGCATAAGTTATTTGAAAAGCTTCTTTCCACATCAGTTTAGACACTGTCTTCAGCATGTTTGCAGCGTCCAGTAACGTCCTTTTCCTCTTCTTTTTGGGACGATTCAACAGTTTCCTGAGTCTTTTAACATAAGATGATCAGATCTGGAATCGTCCACGTTATGCTCTAATTTCTGGATTGTTATAAGATTAGCATGCTTTCATTATGGTATACTGGAGAACATGCCACTACCAACAGTTGTTGACAGGTTAGTGAAGTACGTGTCAGAGTAAGTGATATGAAAGAACTGTAAACCCCTCTTCAACAAGAAACCTGTGAGAGCCAACCGTAGTTTGTACTGAATAACAAACATTATTATGTAGTCGTTTAAAAGATGTTTAGCCAGACCTGAATAACCACATTTTCTTGCTCACTCCAGTTGATATTGTACTGAAAACTCTCCCTTTCATTGTTTCAACATAGGCTTAGTTCTGCATGGGATATCGCCGTTGAGTAATCAAAACAAAGTAAGTCAAGTTGCTCAAAAATGGTTATTGTAAAGGCTATTTTTTGTTAATTTAAACAGTCTCACAGATTATTTATTTCTGACCAGTGTACAAGTTAAAGATGATTCAAATTGAAATTTTATCCCATGGTCCTGAAGATCAGTCAAGATTCTCAGGACTCCCTCTTGATGATATTATTATTATTAATTCAAATTATTGTACAAGTTGAAATTGATTCCAAATGAAATTTGATCCCATGGTGCTGAAGACCAGTCAAGATTCTCAGGATTTCCTCTTGGTGATATTATTATTAATTCAAATTATGTATCTGGTCAATTTAGAATTATCCTTATTAAGGTGAGAACTTGGTTTATGTGTTTCTAACATTAATGATTATTCGTAAGTAGAAAAAAAAACAGAAATAATTCAGGTATCTCTTTACCAAAATAAAGAAATGTATTTCTTTATTTTCACTTTTTGCAATGAAAACAATACTTTATCAATAAGACAGTTCCAAATTTTAAAGGGAAAACATTGATGTATGTAATATAGATACAATCAGAAATGCTTTCAGAGGGAGAAAACTACGCCCCTTAACGTCCTTGACCAGTCGATGTTTGTAGCCAAAAGCACTACCTACAATATCAGTTGTGTATGTATCGTTACTTTTTACAATAACTTTGATCTCCTGTCACTAAGATATTGTTTTGTTTGTCTTAGCGTAAAGCTACACACAATAGCATATCTGCGCTCTGTCCATCAGGGGCAATGGAACTCTGGATTTCATCCTGCTGGCTCACTGGAGGACCTCTAAGATCTAGTCGAGAGATCAAACCGTAAAACTTCTGTCCATACGAGTGTTTTTAAAACTTTACGGTTTGTAAAATATTACCTTCATAATATAAAAAACACACTAGGAGCTTGTGGGTTTTGAAAAAAATATACAATTACATGAATGATTATGACAATACGACCCCTTACGCAACTTAAATATTTAATACTTGTGAGGATTATAGTTATTAAATATTCATATTTATACCCATTTTACATTTGTGAAGGATATATCTCAGCATCTTTAAACAAAATGTTGTTCTTTAATTCAGGTGATTAATAAAGGTTTGTTTGTAGTTAAGCACAAAGCTATATAATGGGCTATCTGTGATCTACCCACCACGGGTATCGAAACCTGGATTCTAGTGTTGTAAGTCCGCAAACATACCGCTGTGCCACTGGGGGGGGGCGATTAATAAAGGAAAGACAAAGATGGTTTTCTAAGACACCAAATAAAAATAGTTTGTGATTATAGCTTCAGAGTTAATTAATTTATGGCAGCATGACTACCATGCCCATAAAGAAAGATAGTTAAAATCATTAATCTTTATCCATGACATAAAAGTTATTAATCAAAGCTGTACTGTCTGTTAACGTCGATAACATGTAATATAGTTTTCTTACATGTGTAATACTTGAAGTTCAACTATTTTACTCTCGGTAAGGCCATTTTAATAGCTTCTATTCA